AGCTCTCAAACAGCTCAAGGCATTTTGCCACCAGTATCTTCATAGATATTGAAGCAAATCAATTCAGTACACTAATCTGTTAATTCTTAAACAGCAAAAAAATCAGTAATCCTCTGGTACTGATAATGACAGCAACTTGCAGATTTCAACAACTGGCATCCAGGAATTTCTTTCTAGAGCACTCCTGATGTCCACACACTTGGATGCAATTACTGTGTTACTGCACTGTCACTCCCTGAAAAAAAGTTTCATCCATCCTGCTGGCACCACAATCCCTGAAATTACATCAAATCAGCAATAAAGTGGCCTGAGTCTTTTTCAGAAGAGCTTATTCAAATTCTTATTTTAAGACAGTAAATATGCAGGTTATACTCCCAAAACACCTCTCCATATACCTAGTTTTAATTTTTGAACTGTCCTCAATATACATTTTAATACTGCAATTACAAGTCTTTTGCTGTAATTCTCAGGACAAAGAATTTAAAAATTTCTGTCCAGAGCTAATGTTGACTTTTTATGATTTATTAAATTATAAGGAATGAAACCTGCCTAATATTCATACCCTTTAAGTCAAGAAAGCAGCATTCTATAGTCTGACCATTTGCAGACCAGCCTATTATGTCAATTATGCCATCTTTGCAACCAGTTGAAGGAAAACTTTGTAAAGTTTTACAGTTCTGATATTCTGAAACACAAAAGACTCATTTTTCTTGCTGTTGTGTTCAAATTATATTCCCAACTATTAAGAATGGCTCTTACTTCTAATTTTACTATATTTTCTGCAATAAAAAATGTTCAATCACTATTGCTTTCTTTCTATGAAAGTACTTTTATGAAAGCACCAGTCTTCTCAGTACCTTTAATATTATTTAAATCTTTAAGTTTCTTTTAAGGAATTTTTAGAGCCCTAAGTTAGTACAGTCTGCCTGATCTGCAACCTAATCTGTTCTTAAAGCCCTGTTCAAAACCCAGATACCAAAAGGAGAACCAGAATTTCAGTCCCAGCCTCATCAGTGCCACACTCAGAAGTAAAATCCCTTGCTCCTACATCTACCATTCCTGTTTACATTCATAAACTGAATTAGCTTTTGTGCCACAAGATCAAGGTGAATTATTTATTCACTGACTCCTAAATCTTTTGCAGAGTTGCTGCTTTTCAGAATGCAGTCCATTCTGACCTGCATTTTCAGTTTTTTAAATAAGTAACTTTGGCTACTCAAAAAGGTACTTAGCACTTTTAATGGGCCCATCTTAGCAAGTAATATAAACAGCTCTCTGTCCCTGCCTTGCCTTACTTTTACTATTGCAATATTTTCATATCACTTCCACATTAGTAATGGTTTCACAATTTCTTTCACATCACTGTAAGAAGTATTCAGTATTGCCTATATGTCCCAAATATCACAGAACTCTTTAATAGTATCACCTTCCTGCCCAGTGATGATTCCCAGAGAACCATCATTCCCAGACTGAAATTTTCAGCAGCCACTGAAGTCTTCCAAGACCATTCTTAAAACACGACTATGAACCATCAGAGTCGTGTAGGTATTAAATAACATCTTGTTTGTTTATTAAGGGGTTTGAAAGCACATCTGATTCGAATACAAAGGACTTTTTTCTCTGAAAAAATACAGATATGTTTTTTGAACGTTGCTACTTTGCCAACATAGTTACTCGTTATTTTACATTCTCAATGTTTTATTCTTGGTTTGCTGCAACACCATCCTCTTAGCCCTATCCTTGTCAGATTACTTATCAGACAGCTCTGATGCCCATAGCATCTTTTATCAGTCTTCCCCGCTTTAAAACTAACTCATTTACTGTTTCCATAGCAATCCTTCACATTTTTATTTATTGGGATATTTTTTCCTCTACTTTCAATTGCTATTGATTCCCACTGAATATCACATATTTGATTCAACCTTAAATTATCTTTTCCATAGCAAAATGTTACTAAATTCCTAAGGAAGCTTTTATTTGCTAGAAAAAACCTTAACAACAACTCAGTATTTTGGGGTCTGATGTAACTGAGGCCAGAATTTTTTTGTCTTTATTAGACCATTAATTTCACAGAAGTACAGAAACCAAGTGTTAGAATACAGACTGCTATTTTGAGACTGTATTAAACACATGACGAGGAATGTACTATGATTGTTAAACAACCACAAAATGGTTTTCACTCATCATATTAATCAGGCTTTTTATGTCCCTTTTTCAAACAGTATCTTTGTCCTTTCAAATAAAATACTCTAGGCTTTTGTCGCAGGTCAAACCCTTGACATTTTTTAGTGTGTTCTACAAGGCCCTGCTCAGCAGCAGAACTACATTCACATTAGTACCAGCATCACTAGTGGACAGAGCTGTGATTTATTAGGCAAAGGGGAGCAGCAGGGACTAATTGGTCATATGAGGACACAAAAGTGTGTGAGAGGAATGCATAAACAATGGAGAGTGTATGCAAAGGTAGCTTGCTCCTCTGGCATGTCCCAAGGTACAAGATAAATGCCATTACTAACAGATCTGAGATACAAGAAATGCAGTATGAATTACATATGTAAATTCTTCCTTCCTCAAAATAGTATCCTGACCAGAAACATTCCTGTATGAAATTAACTTTTTATAGTTTGAGAAGATATAATTTAGTAAATTAGAAGGTAAGAAAATGTCTTTATGTTAATTTCCTCACAATAAATTAGGTCTGTGATTATAACTTTTTACATCACTATGACCACCACATCAGAGACAAAATGCAGACTTCAATATGTTTGAAATATTGGAAATGCCTTTATTTTTGCAATATGCCCATATATGTATGCTTATAGAATAAATTATGACATTCTAGAAGAATACAGTATATATTCAATATGTACATTTCTGTAAGGACAGTAAGATATTTTTAAAAGTCTTGGGGAGGGCCAAAGGACATTTACATATATCAGGCAACCCTGCTTCAAAAGAGCTGGCATGGTATCCTCAGTAACAGCTGCAGATATAATGCTAATAGTATTGTAAAATAAGGCTTTATATATCAAAACAGCAACTTTTTTTTAACTGCCCTTGATCTCTTATCACACCATATTTAGTAACAGCCACCAGTGTAATCCTTCAATGTGACCTATATATTGAATTAGAAGGTGTTCCTAAGAGCTGTATTTTGGACAAGTCAAAAAATAAAGAAAGGAGAAAAAAGTCCAGCCAAACCCCTCTAGTATGGAAAAGATGGGGTCCACCAAAAACTATTCTCCTAAACCTCAGCTGTAGCTGAATGATTGGTTAGGTTTTGTCCACCAGAATACAGAGGTAACAGTGACTTAAAATTGTCACACACTTAGGGTGGAGCCTGCAGACTATGTGCATGACTGCTGGTAGTTTCAGAAGTTTCACTGAAGCAAGAAATTAGTATGTGCTTGCAAGTTGGTGCCCATAGTGAAGTATATATTGACATTGGATTTCAAAACAATAATCCAAATCGATTTTCATTATGCAAATCCATTTGTTTTGTTGAACTGGTCTGCCCTCTATAACACCCAAGCACTACTCTGGAAGAACTTCAGTCTGGGAACTCTCTACAGTTTAGATTAAGAAAAAAATAAGATTGCTTCTGTCATTTCTGTCCATCAGAAAAGAGTCTCATTACCCAAGAAGATTTGTAATATATTCTTATGCCAGATGTATTTTATTAGCATTGATTTATCCATAAAGATAATGGAATTACGGCTATTTAAATATTATCCTTAACCTATTTACTCATCTTCTGAAGAAAAAGTAAGGTATATCTGAATACAGATCTGTTGATTTTGAGGTTAGATATTGAGTTTGAGATGTGGGGGTTTTTTTACTGCTTGTGGTTCTTTTTATTTTTTCTTCCACATAAATAAATCAAAGCAGCCTTACAGTATATTGAATGGAAACTAAGAGACAGTAATCCCAGAGGCAATCAGAACTTAATGGATTCGTAAGTTTGGAGTCTCCAGTGGAACTTTCCATCTTGTTATTCCCTGCAGCAGAAATCACAATTCTTTATAGTGGGGGAAAGCCCAAAACTATTTGCAATAATGGTAAAACGTAGCAAATATTTTGTGAAATTAGGCCTGTGAAAATACAAAAGGTAAGCTTTATTCTTATTTCAGACAAATCAAAGAGTAACAAGATGGTAAAATCTTATTATGATAATTAAGGTAATATGCTGCCATTTGGACACCTAAGTATGAGAGCAATGGGTGCAATCAAGATCTTCAAAGGCTTGTGACAGAAATGTGGTACGGGAAGAAAACAAAAAATCTGTGATCAGCATAAAGGCCACAGAGATAGTGAAGTTGGACATTTGATTCAATTAATTTTAAACATTAGGAATAATCTTAAATAGCTTTATCCTTTGTTTCTGGTCACAGGGAGGTTTTTTCCAGTTTTTCTAACATGCCTTCTTATAGGCCTGAAAATTTATGAGGCTCTGGACACCGAACTGGTCAAAACAGACATCTTAGAGCCCAGTAATATTTGAAGAAAATGCAATGTTGAGGGAAGAGTGAACTATTTCTCTTTAAAATTTTCTGAAACCATGTAAAAGGAATGACAGTTGTTTCAAAGATACACATAAACTTCAGAAGCAACAAATAATAAAGTACATCATGCATATTGTTATGTAATTTGGTCTAAAGATCATCCAGACTCATGCAGTAGAAGCGCTGACTTAAACGCACAAACACTTCCTCTAAGGCCAACATCAGTTCTACATTTATAAACTAGGTTAACCACAGAAATAGTGAATTTATTTGTACCACTGTACTTAACGCCTGGAAATCAAAGCAAAGCTGTGTTCAGAAAGAAGCACTACATGTTCAAAAACCTTTCTTTACATAAAACCTTGTTTTTATTGGACATCAGTGAGTCAAAGGCAGATGGTTGATCTAATTTTAGTTAGGGACAGATACAACCCACCAGCGGCCAGGGTAATCAAGGATAGTCAAGGTTATGGGCCCCAGGCAACAAATTTATTTTACCTCATATTCAGATTCCAGTGTCACAGTGTTCTGTTTTAATTTTTCTTTCAAAGCTGGATCAATCTGAAAGACAAATAAAAATACAGAAAAAATGTTTGCTTTTAAGAATATTTTTGTAAAGAAATCTTAACCTGAAGTAAACTGAATATTGGTACATACAAACCCTCCTCTCCTCTAAAAGAGTTTGTGTCATCTGTTCCAATACCAGGATGATGAACACAGCACAAGAATTGGGCTGAAAAGAAACAGGTCAACTGCCAAATTATTAAACTCCAAAGGAAAACACATTTTTAACTACAGCCCTGCATTTGCATTACCTTAGATACTGAAATCCATGCCTGTTTAGTTTAAAACTGTTGAACTAAACAAAGCTTATATAAATGAAATGAGCCCAAGAAAGATAAAATGTGGCTTGTGTAATATATACTCCTGAATGTTGAGTTCAGTGAATAGGTATACAATATATCCTGGTTTTCAAAGTCTAAGCATGAATTGAATTTCCAATTTTCTGGTGAACACACAGCTCTTTCCTAGTTTTGATTGTGTACTGATAGTGCTGGTGTTTCCTGCCACCTTTCAGAGATGCTTATTAAAAGAACAAATCTAAGAACAGACATGTCAACGAACCACAGCAGACACGTTTTACATTTTAACTTCTTCTGAGCCCAGAGGAAGTGATATTCATCCTTCCCTTTGCTAAATAACATCTGTCTCCAACAGGTCTAAGAGCAGAAGCTAAGGGGAAAAAGATAATTAGCATTCTTCACGCTTAGAGAAAGCATTTCACCACCTTCTCAAACAGCCACATAACACTATTCAGACACAGTCTTTAGGCAAACTAATTAAAATACCAAATAAATCCACCATTAGAGAACAAACGCATTTTTAGAGCTCAAAAACCAAAACGGATGTGTAAGGAGACCGGTAATGTGTGTAGTTCTACATCCCTCGTACACTAGTCCAACTACAACTAATTCAGTGAAGAAAAGTTGTTACTCCTAATTTGCTGCTTCTTGACCTGAACGAAAAGGGCTCAGTAACCCTCATCACAACCAACATCAAACACCTACAAGCAGTCTAGGAAACAAAAAGGAAGGCAAACACATAACAGAATTTGCCTGGCCAATGGGAAGATTCAACTTCAGATTCTCCCCCAACATGAGTTCCTACTCATCAGAGGTACTTCAAATACACATCTACTATGTGTATTGATGGGAATGGCTCTGAAGACTTTCCCTGGGCCACAATGTTCCCCTTGATTACAGACACTGTCTGCTAGTTAGCATGCAGCCTGTGAGACCTCAGTTCCTAAGGAAGGATGCTCAGACAGGCAAGTCTAACACCATCTGTGCATGGCCAGAGGTTTGATTTCCCTATCTCATCAGCAATCTGGCCATAGAAATACACACATTTGCAACCTCCAGACTCATTACACTTGGGACCTAAGCCAAAACATCTAAAATGGTTAATGTTTGTACCGGATACAGCTCCCACCTTCTTGGTAATTAAAAAAAAAAATAAATCATAAAACAAGATAGTGTCCCTGCACTGGCCCTCTACATCAAATAAAAAATTAAATGCTCCATCTCTGTCTTGGCATTCAAGGCCTCTGGAGAACTGCCCCTCATTAAAGATGGATTGCATCTCTCCTGTGACCACGACCTCCAACAACAGCCATACTTCATTAGAACAACGAACCCATCCATCACATGTGTAGAAATGCAAAGTCTTCGGGCAGCCAGACAGGCTTTGAAGCTCGCTTTCACGGAGAGAAGAGTGATCGTGGACCTCACTGTATTCAGAACTAAATGCAAACACTATTTGTTATGCTTTGTATTCTCACAATACACATATGGACAAGAGGAAATAAAAGCTCCAGTAAGTAAGGCAGCAACAGCTTAATTCCACCTTACAATTTCCCTTCATTCAGTAATAAGACAAAGTATCATGGGTTGAAACATCATTTTTACCTAATTAACTACAGCCAGAATTTAACTTACAAAGACAGTTCAATATCTCCATTATCAAGTTTTATATTATCAATTTTAAGTGTGTTTGTTTAATGTATGGTGTGTTCATGGCCACATTCGTGTAAGGCAAAGGTAAATAATCAGTTAAGCTACTGCTGCTTCTCCTTCCTTCCAGCCCTTTCCATCTTTAGACTTTCTCCTGTCTTCATTTTCCTCTGCCTGCACAAAGACAGCTGAAACTGAGACACAGCATTCTAGTTTGATGCTGTAGCTTTAATATTAACAAAAATGCAGAAATGAAGTAGCCTAGTTGAAATTTCTTTTTAAAAAATACCCTGTAAATGTAAAATGAACAGAGAGCACTGCTTCTTAGGAAGCAGAAATTTTATTCAGCAGATTAACTTACCCAAAAACACTAGTTAAACCCTGTTTTGAGGGCTAACTACATACACATTTTAAGCTCACTATGCAAAACCCATTCTTTTGCCCCAAGTTCCACCAAAAATAAAAAAAATAGAAAAGAGGACCAAGTGTGTATTTCCTCTTCTCTTTGTCTTTTTTGTTCCCTACATACATACTTACTCACACAGAATAATTTAAACATCCTTGAGCCTGCACAGTAATTCAGTTACCTGCACCTTCTAATGCCTTGAGACTGCAAACCCTGGCTTTTCAGCTGCCAAATGAGATGGATGGGTTACAAATTGTTTTAGGAATCCATAGAGAAGTTGAGAAAATGTGTATTATAAAGTTTTGTTTCCACTGTCTTTGTACAATGCTGTGCTATCTTTGAAACATCGCAAAAGCAACAACAAAAAAAGGAAAACAGAATGATGCTATTTTCATTCTGCAAAGGCAGATAAACATCACTATGAGCCACAATCACAGATCATAACCAGGGAACACTTCAAATGGGGGCAGAGCCAGGAAAGTGCCCATGCCAAAGCAGTAGCTCTGCTGTATTACACATCTGCTACAAGATCCAAATACAAACATACATTTTGCTTCCATGATGACTGCTATGCCAACACATACTGCCAAATGAATGAGAAGTATTCAGCTATGCACTGGCAAATAGATCTTCAGCTAAATTATGGATACAAATCTGTATTTGTAAATATGATGATGGCAGCACACAAAGCCCAAATGCCATAACAGCCTGACAGTGTCCTCTCCAGCATTATTTAGGAGGCAGGAAGGAATAGAAAAGATATTCCTTTACACTAGAGGACTCTTCTTGATCAGCAAAATCTCAGCTGTTCCTTTAAGATCCATTTAAATTCAAACTTTGTCTCTAAATGTAGAATTCAAAGATGTGTGCATGTATAATTACAGCATAACTTCACATTAAATTCTTACTGAAAGACTACTGAAATCCTTGATGCAAGTATTTAGACAACCTTCAAGAGATGCTGTCTGCAAGGCTTTGAAACCAATACTATAAATACAATTTTTAAAGGCTTTACTTCTTTTCTTTTTCTGGGGTGGTTTTTTTTTTTCCTTTTTAGCACTTGCAGCAAAAATGAATAAAACATTCTCTGTATTTTGCATTATACACGTTTATCTCGTATTACATCAACTGAAAGGGCAAGGGCAAGTGCAATATAGAAAAATTTCAGAAAAGGGTTAAGAATCCAGGTTTCAAATTAGAATTTTGTCCCATTTCACACCCACCATTCCTTCAGATTTACCCGTACTTAAACTTCAAAAGGTTCCCAAAGAAACAGACTTTAAAAAGATTCTTAACAGCTAAAAGTAACAGAGGTTAAGCACAGAAACACTCTTAGAAATCTTAGTAGGCAGCTACTTGAAGCTGTAAGTAAGTAAAAATCTTTTCAAATGAGGCTGATGCTTCTCATTTTAAGGCTGACATTTCAATTTTTGAATTAGAAATTTGACAGCATTTCTAGGTGTTAAAAACAGTGCACCTTGGAGTGCAGACAAGAGGCATCATTACATAGCAAAGCAGAAATAACTGGTGCTTGCAGCCCCTGCCAAACCAGGGACTCCTGCAGTGCCCTGTGAAAAACACACACTCATCTCAGTAAAGCGGATTTTTTGTTTGTGATACATGTATTTCTGGTACAGTTATAAACCCAGAAGTGCTGCTACTAAAAAAATTATCCAGCTAACAATTTTGTATTGATACTCATTGACCACAGTTCATTTTGGCTTGGATACAAGTAATACAGGTAGAGAGCAACTGAGAAATCTGTGAATGTCACTAACTTTAGCTCCTGGGTAAGGAAAGATGAAGGCTTTGGGGAAACCTGATAATGGCCTTTCAGTAAGGGGGGCTTACAAGAAAGACAAACTTTTTAGCTAAGTGTGTAGCAACAGGACAAGGGCTGATGGTTTTAAAATAAAAAAGGGTAGATTTAGACCAGGTATAAGAAAGAAGATTTTTATAATGAGCCTGGTGAGACACTGGCCCAGGTTGCCCAGAGAGGTAGTGAATGCCCCATTCCCGGGAACATTCAATGTCAGGCTGGATGAGGGTCAGAGCAATCTGATCTACTTGAAGATTTCCCTGCTCCTTGCAGGACTGTTGGACTAAAAGACGTTTGAAAGTTTCTTCCAACCCAAATGATTATTTGATTCTGTGAAACACAGGAATACAAAGCAGAATAGCAGTGTAGCTCCTGTTCAGCATTCAGAGAGGACCACCAAGTTGACTCACATCCTCATTTTCAGGGTATCCCAACTGTCCACAGAACACACATGCCTGGATCTGTAACTCAAATAGCCCATCCTCACAAGCACTCTTTCTATGCTATAAACATTACCATTTATTTGTCCATGTACTGTTTGTGGCCGTGGGCTTTAGAGCAAACCAGGACTTGAACACATTCTAAAATGATGGGTTCAGTTACTATACAAGGAAACTGTCAGGAAACAGCCAGATTATGAGAAGATCATTGTGCTTTTAACAGCCTCCTCTCACATAAGTCAGTGCAGTACATTGTATCCTTGTGCCCTGGCATGTACTGACCAAATATTTGCATGCCAAAGTTTTACAGATCTTTCCCTCTAGCAAGCATTTCCAGAAAACAGTAGAAGATATTTCTATTCTAAAACTAGTTTGTTATTTTT